TATTGAAACTTCCTTTTCTTCACATCCCCCTTCCTTTGTTTCTGTCCTCTAACATATTTATTGGTTAAGATAGACTAAATCACAACTTGCCATACTGTTAATTTAAAAATTGGAGTCACAAAAAAGTAAAGGCAAGGTCTTATACCTTTCATTTGGATTCTCTTATTTAGCAGCCAGTCAACCTTTGTCACGTCTAACTTATAAGAGTTTCTAATCATTCATTTACATTAGTTGTTTTATTTGCTATGTGAGCTTTACATCGATGCTTGTGTTGACCACAGTTAAATATTTTGACACAAAAACATTAAAATAAGTTAGGTGTATATTTTGTATCATTTAAAGACAAAATTGTCAGGCATGGTGGCACATGTCCATAATCCCAGCACTTGGGAGGCTGAGGCAGGGGGATTGCCTGAGAATTTGAGGACATTTGGGGCTATGTAGTGAGTTTAGGACCAACCTGAACTACATAGTGAGACCCTGTCTCAAAATAAAAACTAAAAGACAGTTGAGCGAGTCCTGCAAGTTAGATCGCCTGTGAATATTCATAGTATATTTCTGTATAAGTAAATACACATTAACGATTCTTTTTGAGGCTTCCCATTTTTTGAGTAAAGGGGGTGGATAATGAAATGAGACCCCGTGTTGTGATATATTGGCAGAGGACACAATGCAGGATATACCTGCTGTAGAGCTCACCTTGTTAGAAAATAAGTGTATAGCACTTCATCCTTTAGAGTGTTGAAATCAGTAGAGAGAACCTACGATTCTTCCTTTAAAATACTCACTTTCTATTGGACATTTTACTTTGTTTTAGTTAATAGCATTTAATCAAGAGAACACATGGTTGAATTGCAGTAAGAGTCCCTGAAAACCAAGGAAACCAAAATGATTTATGCTGCATTTAAAAGCACTTATATTGTGTCACTGGGCTTGCACAGATGTACTACTGAGTCTTGCTACTGTTTTGAGAATACTGAGAAGTTTTGGTGGATTCTTTTACATTTTAAGTGAATTCTTATGGTAGAATAATAAATCTGACTTAATTGTATTGGATGAAGTATTATTCCCCCTAAAATATTGTATTATTTTAATTTTCTTGTATTATTTTAAATAATGCATCAAACTGTCAGAATTTTTTAAAAATTAGCCATATTTTAGTAGTTCAGAGGAAATAAATTTAACTATATAAACTTGGATTTAGATCACATGACATCAGGTAAAGGTAGTTTTCATTAATCCCTTTTATGTTTAAATATTTAATTTTGCAGCTTTGGACTATCTAAACCAACTTTAAAATGTTGAGGCAATTTAAACAGTTGTAATTGCAGTCTTTGGACTGCCTTTATAAAAAAGATAAAACTTGAAATGTATTTTAATTTTTATTATGTTTATAGTTTTAATAGTTCAGGAAAGAAATAATGAAAGCACTTCTGTGTAACACTTAGGTTTCCTTAAAAACTGATCAGTGATCAGAATTTCTTGTATTAAAAGAGGTTGTTACTTTCCCAGATTTTCCTTCTTTGTAGCTTGCCAAAGGAAAAGGCGCTATGTACTTATTCGGTGCTCTATGTTTTTATACATGCTTATTAATAAGATCCCAGATTGTAAGGTACTGTGGTTACTGATTTGTTTACTGAATGAATTCTTTTGTGTTCCATTGCACTTGTCCACAGATCCCACTCTCGGGACCCTTTATTTAAATAATAGCACACATAATTTTAAAAAGCAACAGTGCCAAATCATGAAATTTTCTGGGAGTCTTATTCATTTACTCAAATACTACTATTCTTTTTGTTTTTCATTGTTTGATAATTTGACAGGAACCCCCTGGTTAAGCTGTGTCTGTCTTTCTTTATCCCATTTTACCATTAGAAAATGTTGCGATGAAAGATCCTCCGGACTTACTGGACAGGCAGAAATGCCTGAACGCCTTGGCGTCTCTCCGACATGCCAAATGGTTTCAGGTTGGCTATTTGTTTTTGTCTTACTGTTATTTTGTCCTTGTGTAGGCTTCATTTGGAACACCTGCTATAACTGGTTTCTGTGTAGTACATAAAGTGAGGTAGTAGCTCATAGGTTTTTTGGGAAATGAATTAAGTAAGTAAAGTACGTAGAATAGCTTCTATTACATAGTTAAATATATTTTGTTATGTAATTCTTTTTAGCTTAATATTAAACATTATAAATTATGGCTTATAAAGTACAAACGGGCAAAAAAGGCTAAAAGTTATAGGCAGTAGGTAGAATGGAGTTGTCATGATGCTGCAAAAGGAATTTTAATATTATGCTCCTTTTACTTTAGCATCTGCTTTTTGAACCACAGTTTACTACTTTTGATAATTTGGTTTTTTTGGTTTGCTTGTAAGTGATGAATGACTTGTTCATTAGTATTCATTTTAGAGAGCTGATTGATTCATGATCAGTGTGCTTAAAATGAAGAATGGATTTCAACAAGGATATTGGAATCATTTTGTTTGTTTTAGGCACGGGCAAATGGATTAAAATCATGTGTAATTGTTCTTCGTATACTACGTGATTTGTGCAACAGAGTCCCGACATGGGCACCATTAAAAGGATGGGTAAGTACTTAAATATAGTTAAAAGTAAGGTCTAAGTTTTGAAGCTATAGCAGAGGAAAGGCATAGTATTATAAAATAACTACCCTCTGAGCTAGCTGTGTGTTTAGCTGTTTTTGCCCTGGAAAAAAAATTTTTCTTTTTTATGCATATAACTTACCTTTTCTTTCTCATATTCGTGTTACAGATTCTTATTTGTTTTTCTGATGAGAAGTTTTGTATCACTTAGTAGTAACTGTCTAACTGGGTGTGTTGGTACACACCTGTACTCCCAGCACCCAGAATGCTGAGGCAGTAGGTTCTTCAGTTAGAGGTCAGCTTGCACTACATTTTGTGACCCTGTCTCAAAAACAAAACAGTTGGGTATGGTGGTGCATGCTTGTAAATCCCAGGACCTGGGAGGCTGAGGCAGAAGGATTGCTATGAGTTTGAGGCCAGTTCACGCGATAAAGTGAGTTCAAGGCCAGCCTGAACTATATAGGGAGACCCAGTCTCAGAGAAACAAAACAAGTAAATGTTTACCTGTTCTTAACTTTACACTGATGATTGATTGCTTATTTGTCAACTGCTGCCCATAAAAGCCTTTTTGTGTGGTCTTTTAAAAAAAACATTAATTACATTGGTACATTTTAGGTATGCAGTATAATGACATTCATCATTGGAAATTCATATATCTTGATTCTTATCTTTTCCCCATTCCCCTGTCCTACTTTCAACCCCTCTACCCCTCCCTATTTTCAAAGACTGTGTTTCCATTTTTTCATTTTCTCATATTAATTCCATCTCTTTTGTTTTATTATTTATTTATCTATCTATTTACCTATTTATTTACTTTTAAAGAAAGGGTCTCACTGTCTAGTTTATGCTGGCCTTGGACTTACTATATATCTTAGGCTGGCCTTGGACTCACTGTGATCCTCCTGCCTCAGCCTCCCCAGTGCTGGGATAGAAGGTGTGCGCCATCATGCCTGGCCCATTTTTCTTTAAGTGCCTTTTTCTGTTACATTGGAAATGACCTGAATGGCCAAGGATCCTATACCTTCTGTAGCTTTTTCCTCAACAGGAGACATTTATAGATGAGTTCCTGTTAGTAATTAAAGTCAAGCAAACAGTACATTTAAACCACTTATGGACGTAGTTTATGGTATATATTGTAGCATTGACAATTTAAAAATTATTTTTCCTAATCCAAGCAAGACTATACATTAAGAACATTATAGAATAATTAAAATGAAACTGTGAAGAATAAATTAAACTAGAATATAAATATAAATTAAATATAAATTAGAAACTAACAATTATTAGTTTGATAGAGTACCATGAGTTTGAGTTTGTTAAATATAGAGACTTGGTCCTTTGTTTATTCTAATTACAGTACTTGAGGCAAGCTATCTGAAATGAAGTCTTATTCTTATATTGAGATAATTATAGTTTGAGTGTTTCCTTAATAAGTTAAGTGGAATATGGGTGGAATATGGGTTTATATATTCACTAGTTAATTAGCTATTACTAATTCATATGAAGGCTTGTTAAGTTTCTTTGAGTGATTCTTTCAGGAAAACTAAAAATAAGATTTTGTTAAAAAGCATCTTCTGAAAATATCTCAGAAATGCTCGTTTTAAAAAACTGGTTGGGGTAAAAAAAAATTGATAATCATGGGGAAGAGTTAGTGGGCCCCAAATGTTAAATTGACTCACTTTTTTTTTTGGCTTCCCCTTGTAGACAGAAATGTCAGCTCACATTTAACTGGACTCCTTTTAACACTCGGTGCATGTACTAATTTGTAATTTAATATCTTCTAGCCACTAGAACTTATATGTGAAAAGTCTATAGGTACTTGTAATAGACCTTTGGGCGCTGGGGAGGCCTTGAGACGAGTAATGGAGTGTTTGGCATCTGGAATACTACTTCCTGGTAAGGGTTTCAAACTCTGGAGGCAGAAGAATCAGAAAAATTTCATTTTAGTTAATTTGTCTAAGTACATACTAAATTTGTCCTCTGCACAAGAAAATAATGTATAAGAGTTATTTTGCTTGGAATTTTAGGAACTAGAAAATGTGTATTGGAAAAGTGCTATAAAACTTTTTCAATAATTTGTGTTTTATATGTACTAACATAAAGGGTACTAATAAGATACTTTGTGTTAGAATTCGCTTTACCTGGAAGTGTGATTTTTACAAATGCAGATGTTTATTTAAAATGTATGAAGTTCATTCTGTTTTGCAGTCTGTTAAATTTGGAAAAAGTTAATTTTTGTCTTATTTTCCATCTATAATCCCTTTAACAATTTGGAATGATTCATCTGCTGTTTCTAAATTCTCAGTGTAAGACCCAGTTTTGGTGTTAGCTGTACAAGTGACTTTCAGTATAAAATAAGGACAGTTAAGTGCCAGTGTATTCACAATGAGAATGTCTCTAAATACTCTACTTAATTGAGCAGACTTTTAGTTTTTCATTTTTTTTTTCAATTTTTTTCTCTTTTGTGTTAGTTTACTGAGTTCTAAACTCAGTTATAAATGACATTTGTGTTTTGCCTTTGCCAAAGGGGGTCCTGGTCTTCATGATCCTTGTGAGCGGGACCCGACAGATGCTCTGAGCTATATGACTGTCCAGCAAAAAGAAGATATCACCCACAGCGCACAGGTAGAAGACCGGGCACCTCTGTGTGTGGTATTAGAACTCTGTTTTCTGCACTGTTCTATTTGAATACCTTTTTCTGGCATGCTGTTAGATTCCTTGGCTGTCATAATAGCTGTATTTAATGAATGTCATTTTAGCTAGATATTCTAAGGAATTTGTGAATGGCTATTGACATTTGATTGAATATAATGTTTTATTCCTTAGCATGCACTCAGACTATCAGCCTTTGGCCAGATTTATAAAGTGTTGGAGATGGACCCTCTTCCATCTAGTAAGCCCTTTCAGAAGTATTCCTGGACAATTACTGATAAAGAAGGTGAGCGTGTGTTTTTTTGTTGTTGTTGTTTTTTAAATTTAGGGTTAAAGTCTGGCAGTGATGGTCTTGTTAGAGCTTAAGGATTTTATTCATTGTTTATGCAAGTAATCAATGAGAAAAGTTAACTGCTTTTCTTGGCTCTGTCTCTATTGGTGACATCTACTTGCCATCATTTGCTCTTGTTAGTGATTAACTCATTTGTTACTATATAGACTCAGGGACTATATTTTTGAGAACCTCTAGTCTAAGGAGCTAAATAAACCAGAAATTAAAAGGGGACCCTGTCACTGTCACTGATCAGTTTGATGATCTTTCTCATGTTTGGAAGTGTTAAAAAATGAAAAAGAGAACAAAAATAATAGAGGAGACAGAGAATAATGTTGGAAAATTTGGGACTGTCTTCCATTTGTACTAACTTGTCTCAGTGAGCTCAGCTTAGAGTTTCATTAGAAAGCGGGTCAATATGACCTGGATTTTAAGCATAGCTGTACTACTTACAGGTTTTGAGGCCTTGAGCAATTCCTTTTTCTTGGTAGGGCTGTTACCATTTTTCTTCCTCTGTTGGCTCTTGTCAGGTTTAAATACCTGATTCAGTGCCTGGAATAGAACACACTCTAATGTAAATCTTACTCTTCTCACTGTGCACTAAAAACATTAAATTTTTTTCTCTTTCCTTCTTGCTTAATACCAGATATTCCTCACTTAGGATGTAACCTCCTCCCACAATTGATCTTAATCTCATAATTCCTATATGACAAAAATAGTAGGGCTGGGGATTTAGCGCAGTGGTTCTGCCGCCTGCTTTGCAAGCACAGGGACCTGAGTTTGATTCATGGTACCAGAAAAATAAAAATTAAATCTAGTGGAGTTGCCCAGTTTATGTAAGCAACAGAATTCCAGTAGGTGTTAAGATGTACTTAGGGAGTCCGTAAGACCAAAACTGTTACATAATAATAGTATTGAGGCCTTTTTATGCCTTTTCCACTCCTTTATGATTATATAGTTTACCAGAGGCTAACATAGTTAGTTGTCTTAGTTACTTTTCTCATTGTAGATCCCCTGACACCCAAAGTTAAAGGAGGAAATAGGTTTATGTACCTCACAGTTTGTAGAGGTTTCAGTACATAGTTGGGTGGCACCAAGGCAGGGTGGCCTGGTAGAGAGTATTGTAGAAGGGAAGCAGTTCACGGGAATTCAGGTCAGGCAGAAGGCAGCAAAGCAGTAAGGAGCAACAAGCAGCAGTAGCAGCAGTAAGTGTTGTCAGAAGCCCTCTTTCTGTCCCTTATTTTCCTTCCAGGCTACTTTTCCTTTGGGCGGAACCAACCATACCCAGGATGGGCCTTCCCATCATCCACACCCAGAACTGTGGCAAATCAATCAGTGGACTAATTTAGTAATCACACACCTTTAATCCAAACACTATGCACTCTAGATCCAGCCACCCCTGAAAAGCCCCACTCAAGACTGCATGAGGCTTTGAGGGGATATCTAGAGAGTCATGACACATTGGATATGTGATGACGTTGCTGTAACAAGGCAAAGCTCTCTGCTTTTGCAACAATTTTTTAGGAGTATAAAGTGCTAAAAAGATCATTGTCTTATACTATAAACTCTTCAGAGGAGGGGATTCTCTAAGATTCTTCCATATTGTTATAAAGTGGTGCTCAGTAAGATGTGTGGGAAGAAAGCCATTTTCTTTTAGTGGATCTTCACTCATTGGCAGTGAAATTTTGTTTGTTTGTGTTTGTTTCAGGCTGGCCCTGAACTCACTATAACTCAGGCTGGCTTTGAACTCTCACCAGTCTTCCTGCTTTAGCCTCCTGAGTGCTGGGATTATAGGTGTTTGCCACCACATCTGGTTTCTTTGTTTCTTTTCTTTTTTCCTTTGAGACGGTTCTCCCTAAGTAGTTTAGGCTGGCCTTGAATTTGGGGCAGTTCTGCCTCACCCTCCTGAGTGCTGGGATTATAGGCACACACTACTATGCCTGGCAGTAGCAGTGAAATTAATGAAAGGGATATACATGTCCTCATATCATTGAATATTGTGAATTGAATGGTGATTGACTAAAAATTTCCCCCCAAAATTCTTATCAATAGTAACAAAATTTTTATTTCAATTACATTGGATTTAGCACTTTTTTTCTTCACTAGATAGTAAAAGCACAGTATATCTGTTAAGTAGCTTTTCTTTGATTCAATTTTATTTTTAATTTTAATTGTATGTATATTTGTATGTATGCATGCATGTATGTATTTTTGAGACAATCTCAGTATGTAGTTCAGGCCAGCCTTTAACTCACTGGATGGCCCAGACTGGCCTCAAATTCACAGTGATCCTCCTGCCTCAGCTTTCCAATTGCTAGGCCACCACTTGGCCTCTTTTTTTTCAATTTTAAAGTTCTTAGGTATTTGGGTACTGTTGGTCTGTCACCTTATGAGTAGAACATATACTTTTGCTTCCTCGATCCCTTCTTTCTGACAATATTCTCCTTGAAATCCATCCCTCTACTTAAACCAGGTTGCTGAACATGTTTGGGGAAAAGCAATCCCTTTCTGTCTGACACCAAACTCACAGGGATTATTTGAGTTTTCTGACAGTTCCGTAATTTTGAGTATTCTTCAGCTTTCCTAGCGAACTCTTTCACACCTTTGCTTCACCTCTCCATCTCTGCCTTGTTTCTCATACATTGGCCTTATTTGCTTGTTTTCTCAGATAAATGGAAATACGTAGATGAACTCTGTATGCTCTCAGTACTCTTGTCAGCCAGCCTAGCTTCATCAGCTCACCTTTGCTTTCCTTCCCTTGCCTGAGGATCAACTGTCTGGCCTCTAGTGACCAACTTTTCTACTAGTCCATTTGGCTACATCCCTCTCTACCTGCCAGTGGACATTGTTCCAGCAGTCATCTCTTCACCAGGGTCATTTTCTCCCTCTCCACTGAGGCATTTTCATCAGCAGAAAAACTTTCTGTAGTACAGTATACCAAAGGAAACTTTCCTTAATTCTGTAGCTCCCCAACAGAGTCACATTTCTCAGGCCCTCTTTAGAGTCATACTTTTAGGAAGAGTGACTTACTTCTTTTTTTTATTTTCCTTACTTTCTGTTCTCTCTTAATTTGTTCTAGTCAAGCTTTCTTCCTCAGTCCTATTCGGAAATCTTGCTTTTGACCTTCCTGTTACCACACTCAGTGATTTGTTTTTATTCCTCATCTCAGCCTACTCTTCAGCCACTTTTGACAAAGATAAATACTTGTCTTCCATATTTACTTGATTATGAGGTATAGCACATATATAGAAATAAATATAAGGTTAAAATATTTTTTAAAATGTATATAAGTGCCACCATGATTAAGAGATAGAAAAATATCAGCTCTTTAGGAGTCATCCATTTGTCTTGCTCCATTTCCTCTTGCCACATGAACTACCTACCGTTCCTGACCTTTTGATAATCATGTCCTAGATTTTATTTAATAGCTTTTATATCTGGAAATAATTTAGCCCATAACTTTTTAGAAATAGACCTGTAATGAGTTTAATGTTTTGTGATTGGCTTCTTTCTGTCCAGTTTTCTTGGGACTAATTCATGGTGCTACACTAGTTCTTTTTTTTTTCCTTCCAGACAGGGTTTCATTATGTAGTCCGGGCTGGCCTTGAACTCACGGTGATCTTTCTGCCTCAGCCTCCCACAAGTGCTGGGATTACAGGCATGAATCACCATGGCTAGCTTACTTTGTTCATTTTGATAACTTTATAGTATCCATTATAAATATATTACAGTTTATTCTACTTTTGAAGGATATATTAGTTCTTTAGTTTTGACAGCCATCCACAGTATTGCTATGAGAGTTTTTTTTTTTTTTTTTTTTTTTT